TTCTAGTGTACTTCTAAAAGTCTGTTAAACCGAACCTTCAAACGTATAAAACTCACTTTTGTCTATAATCTGTTTCAGCTGTGATAATAACGTTTTATTATTTCTAGAAAAAACTATGTCTGTCTGAGAGGAGCCCAGTGCCCGGTAACAGTAGCGACTCGGAAAAAGTGCCCAGCATGCCGATTCGACAAGTGCTTGCAATGTGGCATGAAACTGGAAGGTATGTTCTTGAACAGCGTTTCTCTAGAATATTTAACAACTTTCATACTTGCTGCAGTTTTCTGTATGCTCAGCACTTTGTTATTTTTCCAGCAATACGAGAAGACAGAACAAGGGGTGGCCGATCGACCTACCAGTGCTCGTACTCTTTGCCGCCTTCGCTGGCCTCACAAACCGAACTGCGAGCTAGCACAACCGATTTACGGTATGGCGTCATATTCAACTGTGCAGTGATGTGCAGCAGCATAACTGTTCCTATACTTACAGGCAGGGCATTGGTGAGCACCATCCAGGTTTTACGATAAAATTGGAACCACACGACGGTAGTCAGTCACACCATAAGCGAGGAACCCTGCCGGGATCGAAAGGTGTCCCACCGTTATTGCAAGTGAGTTGTAGATGAACACTTTGGGTGACTTTATGATTATTTCACATCTAGGAAATAATGGATGTGGAGCACCTGTGGCACTACAACGAAATGGAGCTTAATAAGCTGAACACCGAAGGTCATCTTGGTAAAGAAGGAGCCACTGGAGCGGTTCACAACCTGTCCAACCATCCACTTCTGGCTGGAACCGCACTGGCCGGATCGACTGACACCAATCCAGACTTCGTAGCCAATTTGTGCAATATTGCTGATCATAGATTATATAAGATTGTTAAGTGGTGCAAAAGTCTTCCATTATTTAAAAATATTTCGGTGAGTGTCGCTTTCAATTTCCTTCTAAGATTTATTTATTAGGATACTCCATAAAAGTTGCTGCTTACGCATTAATTCTATTTCAGATTGATGATCAAATATGCCTTCTCATTAATTCATGGTGTGAGTTGTTACTATTCTCATGTTGTTTCCGGTCAATGTCCACTCCAGGTGAAATCAGGGTGTCTTTGGGAAAGAGTATCACTTTGGCACAAGCCAGAGACTTGGGCATGCAGGCTTGTATTGAGAGAATGTTGAATTTTACTGAGCAGCTCAGAAGACTGAAAGTTGACCAGTACGAATATATAGCGATGAAAGTGATCGTGCTATTAACTTCAGGTAACTTACAAAATGTTTTATTTTTCCAAATTTGATACAATTGTTCAAGAAATAAACAGCTCAACAACATAAGACTGAAAATTAGTCGAACACATCGACACCAATTAGTTATGAGAATAATAGAGTCAGATAATTCGGATTAATCGATTATGGAATGAATTGAATTAATTTGATAACTTTTTAACATGCCTCTCCTCACATGTCATTCTTCTGAAAAATACCACAGATTTACTGTTAGCAGCTCCCGATAGGTACAGGGTTATTGATTGAACTTTGGCCACCCCGTTTTTGCATCTAATTTG